ATTACTACGTTTGCCTGCCATTGTTCCTTACAGTCTATAATCCCAAGCCAAACCCCAAATGAAAGACATCATCTAAATGGCCTTTCTAGCACCCAGAAAAAAAACAAAACAAAACAAAAACTGTCACATCAGGAGAAATAAAGAAATCTGAGAAACTCTCACAAACCAGAGACAACAAAAGCAACAGCATGACTAGTTACAACAGGATATCCTGGATGGGAGCCTGAAACAGAGGAAGAAGGCATGTGGAAGTTAATGAAACCCTAACTTACCAATGTGGAACTTTTAGGTATCTCAGATGGACCTCAGTAGTGCAAGATGTTACAAGAAGGGATACCGAGAAAGGGTTAAAGAGGAACTATGTTTCCAACCTATCTGAAAATTGAAAAGTAACGTTTAAAACTTAGTTTTCACTTAACTACAATTTAGCTGTTCCAACAAAAAGATACCTACCTTTTTTTTTTTTCACAAAATGTTACAATCAAGTGGGTACACTTAGGTGGAGAGGAAGAAAAAGAATGCATTAACACACACTAAATGCTATAAGCTTTCACATGATATTGTCAGTTGTAATTTTAGCTGTTCTGATCTCATGATCTGCTTGTGTGTGTGTTTATGTGTGTGTGTCTCCATGTGCACACACTTGCAATGCAATACCTTTTTCCAGCTTTCTAAGGTAAATTCATACATTTAAGTTGATAATTCTTTCCAACTGCATACAGAATATACAATAATCAGGACAGAGAACACATCTTCCTATTTTCTTCAAGTCCATCAACCCCATTTTCAACTCCCACCCTCCAGTGGTTCTCAACCTGTGGGGCTGACTCCTTTGGAGGTCAAAGGACCCTTGCACAAAGGAGTCACCTAAGACCATTGGAAAACACAGACATTTACATTATGATTAATAACAGTAGCAAAATTATAGTTAGGAAATACCAACAAAAATAACTTTATGGTTGGGAGTCACCACAACATGAGGAACGGTTTAAAGGGTTGCAACATGAGGACAGTTGAGAACCACTGCTCTAAACCATTGATATTTTCCATCTTACCTCTCCTTACTTTACTTTTCCCTGTGACATTGCTTTCCATAATGACCTTGATTATTTTCTCATAAAACCTTACCACTGCATCCAATGACAAGCATCACCTAATGATGCATTTCTCTGAATGGATTCAATCAAAGGACACAACTTACAAGTCCTTTATCTAATTAATGCATTGTAAATAAGTCCTTCCAGTTAGCATCTGGGATGCAATATGTTCTTTTCCTTGGGCTGTTAAATGTGTTAGATTCTTTATCTCATTTATTTTACCTTTCTGTTTTCAAATTCACAAGAGTACTTGTTCAACTTCAGCTCCAAGCATGGAGTGACTTTCTGGCCACTCTGCTCTTTTCTAAGAATGACAAGTGTGCAGTATTCATTTAGGATACATAAACAGGCCTTATCAAGTAAGCAGATTTGCAAGCCTGGAGTCTGTGAATAAGGAGAAGCAACCATCTTTTTCTAGAAAGAAGAATGAACATACTTTAATGCTAACAGCATTTAGGCTTTGAATATAACTATTTTGGTGGAAATCATGCCTAAAGATAGTATTTCTCCTAAATAAAACACCAAAAATATGTTTTCTTACTGGCATGGTTGAAACAATTAATTAAGCAACACTAAAAAAACAAAGAAATCTTTAAGATTTCAGATGTTTAAATGTATTTTTACATTTAAAAAGCCCCAGTAGGCAACAATTTTTAAGGTTTCTGTGCATTTATATAGCTATTAGCTTAATACTCATTAGCTACATCACAAGGAAATGTGACAGATTCTCATCTTCTCATTTGTAAAATGAAGAAAATGTTATTTCTAGGTCCAAATTTTTAAAAAGCAAGTTTGGACTTCTAGATGTTCTCTTACAATTTCCTACTTCTGATATTTTCTATTCCAAGAAAAAAAAATCCAATTCTTACATTATAAGAAATATAAAGCTACTCTAATTTAAGTCCAAGGATCTTTTCTAAACAATGTGAGCACACGATTCAGCAAATAAAGCATCTGTGCACGCCTACTCCCCAAATCCTAGCTACAGGTGAAGCAAACGTGTAAAATTAGTAGTACCTCACAACACAGTAAAAATGATACAAGGCTAGGGCTGTAGAGGTGGCTCAGAGGTTAAGAGCATTTGCTCCCTCTTTCCCAGGACCCACATGGTGTCTCACGTCTCCAGTTCCAGAGAATCTGATACCACTTTTTTGGCCTCTGAGGGCACACACATGGTACAGACATGTATGCAGGCAAAACATCTACACACATTTTTGTTTGTTTGTTTTTTGAGACAGTTTCTTTGTGTAACAGTCCTAGCTATCCTGTACTAGCTCTGTAGATCAGGCTGGACTCAAACTCACAGAGATCCACCTGTCTCTGCCTCCCAAGTGCTGGGATTAAAGGCATGCACCACCACAGCCCAGCTTATAAAAATTTTTTATGTGGATTTTTAAATTCATGTTATAAATAACCAAACACATGTATAGAAAAAAAAAAGAGTAGCTAATTTTCTTTTTTTTCCCCTTTGTGTCCATGTGTGTATATTTGCTAAGGATAGAACAGAGCCTTGTACATAAAAGTATTATACTTCTGAGAAACAAACACCCTCAACTACTAATTCTAGTTGGTTTTTTTTTGTTTTTTGTTTTTTTTTTTTTTTAGCATGAATCTTAACGGGTCTTATTAATAAAATCAAACCTGAAGCCAGGTATTGGGGTGAATGCTGGAAGATCAGAGAAGCAGAACAAGCCACAGCCACTTCACCTTGCCATTTCCTCAGACTGGAAGCCTCTGAGTCCTCATCCAGAATGAATCTCAGCTGAACTGTTGCTCAAAAGCCTAAAAGCTTAACCAGCTCTAGTTCCTGGTCCTCACGCCTTGTATACCTTTCGACTTTCTGCCATCACTTCCTGGGATTAAAGGCTCACTTCCTGGGATTTTTATGGCTCTTGTTACCACGACTGGCTGTTTCCAGTGTGGCTTTGAACTCAGAGATCCAGACAATCTCTGCCTCTGGAATGCTAGGATTAAAGGCGCGTGTGCCACCATTTTCTGGCCTCTGTATCTAGTGGCTGTTTTGTTCTCTGACCCCAGGTAAGTTTATTAGGGTGCACAATATTTGGGGGAACACAATATCACCAGTTTTTCATTTAAAAAACTTTCTAATACAATAAATTTTGATCATACTGTTTTCCCTCCCTAACTCCTCCCAGATCCTCCCCATCTATCTACCTACCAAATTAAAAAAACACAACTTAAGATAAAAAAAAAAGTACACACACATACAAAAGAAAAAAATACATGAAATTCATGTTTTTCATGGGGGAGTTCCTGGGGCCTGCTGTAGGGTGTGGTTGAAATTGATTTTCCATTTCCCAGCAGGCATTAATTGCAAAGAGCTTCTTGGTTACAGGTGGGACTTTATGTCCACCTCCCCTTCTCAGTGCTGGGGTTTTGTCTGGTTTGAACTTGTGCAGGTCCTGTGCATGCTGTCTGTCTCTATCAGTCCCGCTGTGTCTGAAAGCTGCTTTCTTTAGAGTCATCCACATGGGTCCTTGAGCCTGGAGGGGAGGGGTTTCATAAAGACATCCCATTAAGGCTGAGTGCTCCAAAGTTTCTCACACACATTGTCCAGTTGTGGATCTGTGTCAATTACCATCTACTGCAAGAAAAAACTTCTCTGCCTAATTATGTCTAATATTCTTTCCCAGGATTATTATTAATTTTTTGTCCTCTGTATGTCCTGGTATTCTAAATTTATGTAAGTCTACAAGTTTATATCAAATAGCACTCACAATATGCTCCTCACCCCAGGCCCCATCTCTGCATCCTGCTTGTGGATCAGGATTTAAGTTCTCAGCTACTGCTCCAGCACCATGCCTGTCTGCTGCCATGCTCCCAACTGTGACAATCAGGGACTAACACTCTGAAACTGAAAGCCAGTATGCATTTAAAAACTTCCATTTATGAGTTGCCTTCTTCGTCATTTCTCTTCCAGTAAAAGAAAATGTAAAAATGACTTAAAAACACTTCTCATGCTATTTCAAATTTTCAGTTACTCATCTGAGAGTAACTAGTCTCAGCACTGATTCCATCCTGTACCCTGGTTCATCTCTCCTCTACTTTGGCTCTGCCTTGGACACCCTTCCTAATGCCGATGGCAGCATTCTTAGAAGTAGCATTTAAATCTAAAGGGGAATGCTGCTTTTGTTTGCTTCAGAATGTTTATTTCCCCGAATCAAAAAGTATAATCAGATTCCTTTCTGGCACCGAGTGGTTGCTATGGTCGCTGCTTCTTACTAGGCTCCTCCAGTTCCCATGTCCCTGCTAGGCCTGGAGTCCACAGCCAAACGCTAGTAGAGGACTCAGTCTTGGGGCACACCCTGACTTATTGGTCACGAGGGGGAGGGTATGCCTCAGAGTCTGCCCAGTCTGCTGTCTAGCAGGCTCCTATCTGCCTCACCTCACACCCGACAGATGGGGCCCTGCTCCTATGACATCAAGCAGGCTCTATCACTCAGAGAGACCTATCCCCATACAAGGGCTTCATTGAGGCCCTGAAGCAATGCAAATACAACCATAAGCAGGGGCCCTGCCCTGAAGAGTTCTAGGCCATGGCTTTGCTCTTACTCCAACCCCTCAGTGACAGCCAGACATGAAGAGAGTACCTGGAACAGGGAGCAAGGAGAGGACTTCTCACCCCACAGATTAACATGACATAAACATCTAATTAAAGAGATTATCTTAGACCAGTGTGTGTGTGTGTGTGTGTGTGTGTGTGTGTGTGTGTGTGTGTGTGTATTCCACCTGCCACCAAGTGGAACTCAATCCCCAGGACCCACAGGGCAGGAGAGAATCAACTTCTATCTAGATCCCTACTAGATGCCCTCTGACCTCTACTGTGGCAAGCACACAAGCCAAGCAAGCACACACACAATAAAGAAAATTTTAAGGGCCTTATAAAGTACACAAGTGTACTGTTGATATATTTATTGAGTTACAATTACATATAAAACACCAATCTATACAGAGGCATTTGATGCATAATATATACAGTTAACTTTTAAAACTTACAATTTACAATGATTGTGAATATAAAATTGACATTAAAACAGTTTCCCAAAGTGATTTATTTGGCTGTTCTTGTTCGAAGCCGTCGTTTGAGAATCTGATGATCACTTTCTTTTACTTTCTGTTCCATTAAAATCTGAAATTAAAAGTTTTTCAAATATAGTTAAAAATAATGTCCTTATGAATGATGTCCTTTTTGCTTCATCACTGACTGTAGTATTGCATTAGAATTTCATTTTTCATCTTCTAAACAAGTACATGTGAAAGAACATAGATTTTGTAAAGATTCATTCATCATTACCTAATTCAAGAATTAAAACCTATAGTCTACTGAATCCAAGACAGATAGATCTAAGCTTGAAATAATTACTAAAATATTTGGACACAAAATGCCTCAAAGCAATTTAGGAAATCACCATTCACAGCAATGAGGGTCTAACATGATGGGGAAGCATCACTATGCTCTAACTCAGCAAAAACAATCTGTAGATGTAGCTTTCTTCAGCCAAGAGGAGAAATCGTGCACTATCAGACAGTAAAATGTGACTAATAGAACAGTACATGAAATAGCATGTTCTGACACGAATTCTTTCCAGCTGCCTTTGATATCATATTTGTTAGCTACTATTACAAAAACCAGTATCTCTTATTTTTCTTGGCCACTTCCTGTTGAAATCCTTTAATTATGTTTCTACTTACATGTTCATCCACTCAGCCAATGAGAACTTCCTGTAACAGCTCTCATGAGGACAATGAATCAGAGTGATAACAATCTCCTTTTCTTATAAAGGCCCAAAGGAAGCCAGGTGTGTGAGCACACACCAATAAGCCCAGCAACAGGGAGGCTAAGGCAGAAGGAACACTACAGGTTTGAGGCCATCACGGACTGCATAGTGAGAATCCTTCTCAAAGGCACCAACAGGACTAGAGAACAGGCTCAGAGTTAACGACAGGAGCTGCTCTTGCAGACTTGGGTTCAGTTTCTAACACCCATATGGTGACTCACTACCCTCCAATTCCAGGGGTTCCAGTGCTCTCTTCTGGTATACAAGGGTACTGCAGACATGGTACATATCCATACATACAGACAGACAAAATACTCATACATATAAAATAAATTTTAAATAAGAAGAAAACAAAGGCCTGGAAGGCTCATAGAGGAAAGGTGAGAGAAAAATGGTGAAATACCAATTTTTTTAAATTTCTCATAGGTACATGGACCGAGATTTATACAACTCTTGTAATAATAATGATAACACAAAGAAGAATAGCTCATAGAAGTAAATAAATTATTAACTGTGGTAGATCTATTGATAGAAATATATTACTCTGCTGAAACTTCAAATGCTACTGCATGATATGTGCGTGCATATTATTATAATATTTATATTAAATTACTATAAGGCTAATATATACCTGAGATCAAAGTATACATCTGTCTAAAGAGAGCTAAAGAAAAGAAATTAAAATCCTAAGAGAGTTGGATGGCACAGCCATGTCTAAGGGAATGGCAAAAGTCATAAAGCCAGCACAGCTGCTTGACAAAGACCCAGAAAAGCTGAGCCACGTGATGACCAGTGTGCCACTTTTGGCCTTGATCACCTGTTGCACACTTTGAGGACTTTTAATATTTGTACAATTGGGGGATATTGGATTGATGGAAATTTTCTTATGAATCATTTATGCCTTCTCCCAGGATTGCTGCTTCTAAACTTCCCCAGGACAGTCCTGAGCATAATACCCCTCCCACTTTTAGGAAGATATCATCTACTTGAAGGTCTTTCTTATACCATGGAGGTTGTGACACATAAAGAAGCCAGAGGTCTATTTATGAGGCTGTGAGACAATCTTGAAACATCTGTTCTTGTACTTACTCAGGAACAAGATAACCAAAATAAACTTTAAAAGGTCAACAAGATTTGGTAGGCCACAGATCAGATTGCAGGCCTCTTCCCACTATATACTCAGGCATTCATGTGACATATATAGAGAGCAACAAAGTTAGATTAGCTGAAGTTACCTCTGCCCTACACAGACTTATACTGATGGGCAAAGAATGATGATAAAAGAATGAGATGTTGGGATCTCCCTTTCTTAGAAAAGTTAGCTCATGCAAAGCCACTGTGATGTCATATGACCAAAGAACAACAGAATGCCAGGATTGGACATATAAACAAATTCTATAAAGTTATAAAATGTAAGCACTGTATTATGCCAGAATTTGGATAATAACTGCAGCAGTATTGGCCTGAGGATTTTTCTTGAGTACTCTGGCCATTAAGTGTTAATAATACATTGCTTGGGACATTGCAATCTGCATGGACTATCTTGGGGATTTTGTTTTGGTCTAGTGTCCTTGTAGCCACAAAAGCTACTAGCCTGAGAATAGGCTGTCATGTGCCTCCAGATTCTTAAAAATCGGGTTATGGAGTTAATGAATCAAAGTAGTTATAAAAGATAACTGTTTATCAAGTTAACTCTGTCATAATTTATCAATAATGACTAAAATAGATGCAAAAGGAAATGAAACACATGTCCAAAAACAAAAATGATATGATCCATGTTTTGGAGCATCATGAATCTATCCTTGCTTACTGAATTCTGTGTAAAGAAACACTCTGGCTGCTAGTCAAGTCAGTCAGGCAGCAAGATTCTCCTGACCACCATGCCTGACTCACTTCTTCCCTTGCCAAAACCTTATATCCTCTTGGAACCTGCCCACCACTGGGGCTGACTCCTGGCAGTTGGAAAGATGGCTCAGAGATGAAAAGCACTTGTTGCTCTTTCACAGGACCTCGGTTCAATACCCAACACCCACATGGCAGCTCACAAACATCTGTAACTCCAGTTTCACAGGATCCAGTGCCAGGCATGCATGTGGTGCATAGATATATTATAACCAAAACACCCATACATGTTAAGAATAAAATGATTTTTAAAAAGAAATTGAAATCATAAAATTCAAATTGTTACAAATATTTCAGAAGTAAAAAGAAAATGTATAGTTTTAAACTGGTGAAGACTAAAACATTAGCTTACCACTTGGCCAGATATGTTGATGGGAGATGAAATTTCATTTCTGTATAATTTTCGTTTGGCTTTTTTTGGCTGAGACACATTTTCTTTACTTACTTCTACAGTTGAAAACTTTGGAGAACTCATTGTTTCAATTATCTTTTTTGCTGTAAAGTAAAAAATGTTAATTCTTGTGTTAATTTTCTAACTGCAAAGGTTTGGAATTCTTAATGAGTTTCAGGCTAGCCTGTGCTATATGGGAAGACAGTGTCTCAAATATCCAAAACACAAAATAAACCAAATAAATGAATAAAGAAATGTAGTGGTGTATTTACTTTGATATGCATATATCAGGATGCCATAATGAATATTCAATAACAATGTAAACAACCCTTTATATGTGCACACGCGCATGCGTGCACACACAAATTGTTAACAGTAGACAGATTCTAAGAAGTAGACTAGACATTTTAAATCTCCCGCTCAGACACTGACAACCTGCAGTCAACCTTCACAAAGCCCTTTTTGTTTCGATTCAACTCTGACTCCAGTTTTTCCTTCCCCATCTCCCCCACTTCCGCTCTCAGTTTATCTCACTGCTCCCACTCCTCAGATAATCCCACAAAACCTCTTCACACGCTCTCCCTACCTCAAGTTACATGTACATTTTATACTGTTCTATAGTCTACCAGCATTGAGACTATTCCCTGCAGTGAATATGCACATATGTATGTATACAGATATACAGAATACATATTTTAACAAAGACGTATTATAGAACATGTCCACATTATAGGTCACTGTTCCTCTACAGTCTCTGCATGAGTTCCTGCTCTAACACCCTTCAATGATGGACTGTGATGTGAAATTTTAAGTCAATAAACCTTTTCCTCCCCCAAGTTGGTATGATATATATATATATAGAGAGAGATATAGATATAGATATAGATATAGATAGTTAATATTTACAGATACGTAAGACAAAAACAAAACCATTGCAAAGACATACAATACTAACAGTGATTACCTCCAACAGGTCAAAGAGCACAATCCCACATTTCTATGCCCACATCCCATTTCCTTCCTAAAATGTTTCCCAAAGTTCCCTCATTATTATGATTGGCTTTCTCTCTCCCCTAATAGTATCCAAAAACTTTATTTTACCTCTACTATATTAAACAGCCTGCTCTATCTAAATAATTACTTAAATGTGAGCCCTTCTACTCCAATACATAGTGAACATCTAGGAACATCATCTTTTCATCTGAGTTTTCCCACAGTATCCTAGATAGTATCTAGGATAAGACAAAGACTGCCCACTCCAGGCAATAGATTTAGTAAACTGTTAAATGTATATGCAACTAGGCAATAGAAAGCACTCTACATGTATTAAAAAAGTCATTTAACTTTTCCACAAACCTTTTGATTGAAGAATTGTTGGAGAATGGTGCAAAAAGTCTCCAAATTTCTGTAGTGTTCCCTCTCTTTTTTTAGAGGCTATGTTTGCACTAACTGTAGATGCCTGGCTCCGTAAAGAGTATGTTTTCTTAGATGATGGACATAAGGAAACCTAAGAAACAAACACTCTCTGTCACTAATAATAAAAATGTTACATGGAAATAGTTATGGCCACAGTTAATTGAAGGAGGTTGGAATTAAGTTTGTGTATTAAGATCACAGGGCTAAACAAGGCATACTGAGTCTCAGCTAGTGTAAGGAGGAGTGAACACATGAAGAAATGCCTGGGTAAATGCTAAAGGTATATTCAAATATGAACTACATGTGTAGGAATGGAGGATAAATTGAGTTTTAATTGGACACGACTAAATTTTAGAAAACTACTAACTCAAAATTTGGTATCTTATGCTGTGGATATCGCTCTGTGTAAATAAAATGCTGAATGGCCAGTAGCCAGGCAGGAAGCATAGGCGGGACAAGCAGAGAAGAGAATTCTGGGAACAGGAAGGCAGAGTGAGAGAGACACTGGCAGCCTTATCTAGTTAAGATAGAAGAACTAGAAAAGAAGAAGCCTGCCATGGCCATACAGTTTATAAGCAATACAAGTCTCTGTGTGTTTACTTGGTTGGGTCTGAGCTGCTGTAAGACTGGCAGGTAAGAGAGAATTGTCCTGACTGTGGGCCAGGCAGAAAAACTCTAGCTACAATCTTACAACTAAGCTCCCACTTTATCATGTAAACTATAGAAACAGTCATCTAGAGCAAGGACAAACCTTTTGATCCTTTTTGACAGAGGAATCTCTATGTTCCAAAGCAGGGAACTGCACATTATTTCTGGGTGTAGAATTCTTCTTATTTTCACATTTCACCAAGTCCTAGAAGTAATAAATTATAGCACTGGTTACTTTCTTGATGATAATTTCTTTAGACTCAAAAAGAATATCTGTAAATGCTAAGAACAACTATCCTAATTAGTAAACAGAGGTAGTTTGAGATCAAAAATCAATAGCAATGTTGAAGATATCTGGTTGCTTTTGCCAGAGATATAAAAGCCCAAAGTATAAATCACAAGGCCTCACGACAATGAGGCCTCCAGCTTGGAACACAATTGTGCTAAGGTTGAGAAACCACAGGTCAAAGTGTGAACTTAGCAATGGGATGCCTGAGCTCAATGGAGAACCTACAAGAACATGTTTCATCTGAACTTTACCTAAGTGCAGTCCTACATAATCATTTCCCATCTCCAAAAACATATATGCCTAAGATCTATCATTAAAATCTGGCAGCATCAAAAGGAAAATAAAACATCACAAAGGTAAAATGGGGAAATAAGAAATGGTTCAATCCCAGTTAATCTCAGCAGTTAAGAACAATGGGATCAGGGACTGTTCCTAACACTTTGGTTAGCTTTTGGGAAGCTATTCCTCATACTAGACTGCTTTGCCCAGCCTAAATACAAGGGAACATGCTTTATTGATACCCATGAGAGGCCTGCTCCTTTCTGAACAGAAACAGAGGAGTGGATTGGGGGGGGGGGGACTGTAGCTAGGATGCAAAACAAACAAAAAATTTAAAAAAAAAATGGCCTTAATTGTTCTATAGCTGAGTGTGGTGTGCACCTTTAATTCTAGCACTTAGAAGACAGAGGCAGGCAATCTCTGTAAGATCAAGGCCAGCCTGACCTACACATTGAATTCCAACAGCCAAGGATATGTGGAAACCCGTCTCCATAAATAAACAAACAAACAAACAACACTAGCTACTTTTGCAAAGGATCCAGGTTCAAATCCCAGCACCCACATGGTAGCTCATAACCGTCTACAGCTCTAGTTCCAGGAGACCCAATACCCTCTTCTGGCCTCCCTAGGTACTAAATACATGTGGTGCACAAACATGCAGGCAAAACACCCATCCACATAAAATGAGAATAAATAGATCTTTTTTAAAAGAAAAAAAAAAAATCTTACAATATTTCATCTTTCCTAAATGTGTATAGCATCTTATTTTTCACTTTTCCACATAACCTTACAGAGGATGAAGCCTTTTGTGAGGTACATTTACTGAATTTAACAATTATAATCTTAGCTGTAAACAAAAGGATACAAGTATACAAGAAGTGAGCAAAGTACAAGTAGAGAAGCAGAGGAGACATCATGGCCAAACATCAGAATCCAAGTTACAAAGAGAAGGCCCAGGGTCACAAGCGGACTGCATGGAAAGTTAAGGCAGTTAAAGAGTAATCATGGGAAGCAAATGAAGAAAGACGGCAAGGCTGGACCAGCTCATTTGGAGTGCTCAATCAAGAGCTTCTGGGAATATTTACTGGAACAGAATAGAGCACTGTATAGCACTGCTGAACAGATTTTCACAAGTGCCAAAGGGCTGATTTTATTACAATGGAGGTGTGACAAAATCAGATAAAATTTTACATTTCAACTTTATAAAACTACAACAATCAGAAAATCTTTTCTGAGGTGCATATGAAAAAAAATATACCAGGAAAATAAATTGTATTTCAACTTTTCCTTCTTAATACAAGGGGGGAAATATAACAAGGAAAAAAAATGAATGTAGCTTAGAAGATGATGAAATTCAAATATTTTAGGCATATTTAAAATGTGCCTACAAATAAATAAATGACTTTGAAGATCTAACCACTAAGACTCAAGGCACTGCAAGGACCGCAGAGAAGCTATGTCCACTAATGCCCACTCGGGGAATGTATTCCTGACGGCCAGGTACGGTGACTATTATTTTTGTTCTTCCACCAGCTTGAAAATACACTACTCTTTAAAGAAGTAAAGGGAAGTTGGAGACCTTTCTTTTGCCAAATATTTTAGGCTTAAAACAAGTAATTTTAAAAGCAAATATTATCAACTATTACATACCTCCCACAGAAAGAGAGAAAAACTTTAATATACTACTTCAGAGAGAACTAAGGATCAGAAGGCTACTGTGACTCACCAATCAATGTGGCTTAGGTGCAGTCAAAGTCCCGCAGCCCTACCACCAAGAAGCTACACTACCACCAAGAAGCTACACTACCAAGTGATAAAAACTTCTACCTACCACTACATGGAAGGTCCAAGTCCTAATATCAGCTGACAGAAAAAGAATTTATTTTCCAAAACTTCCCATGATCATAGAGACCTAAGATTTTAGTTAAATGACAAAGACACTGACCAAGCATGTTTGCCATTTCAATTTCTCTGATTTCTTTATCAAACATTCCCCATCCCACTGGGGGTGATGGAGCTAGCTTGGTACAAACTGGGATTCTAAAATAAGTATCTAGTAAAATTCACCTTTATCTGACCTACTACAGATGAAATGAAGTAACGAATGAACTTCAATAAGCACAGCTTTCTGAGGACTATGAAGCTCCTGTATCATTCCATAAGTTGTGATAATGGGTCTCTAGAATGAGTTCTTCTGAACAGAACAGTGCAGCAGACTTAACTAAACTACAACTGAACCTAATAACAGTATCTACTTGCTAAGTTTATTCATCAGGTAACTATACCTCCTCCATTTCATTACTCTTCCTCTTCCGTGCCTTGGGAATCTTAATTGTGACCGGGGTAGCACAACCAGGGTGCTTCACTGCCATTTTGTTTGGCTGCAAAGGTGTAAACTGAATCTCCAATTCAGGTTTTGGAAATCGAGTGCTTTGTACATTTTCTGTTGACACTTCACAAGAGTCGAGAACTACAGATCCATCCTACAACAAAAATAAAAATGGAAGAAAGAGTCATTTATTTTTGTAACATAGATTTATAAATGTCAAAGAATTGATTTTCTCAAATGCTGTTCAAGACAATGACTTGAGAAAGAGAAAGGACTGAGCAGGACAGAAGACTGACATATCTACACTCTCTAAGTTATACATGGTGTATTAAAATAGGGAAAAATGGGGTCAGGGTATAGACCAAGGACCTGGGTTCACTCCTTAGTACCAACAAATAGGATGGAGGCAACTTAAGAGATCAGTATGACCCAGATTTTTATGATCCTAAGAGCTTTACATTTAAAGGATGACTGGACCCCATCACAAAACCTGCCAAGTCAGAAACCTCCAAGGAAGAATTTGGTATTTTAAACAAGCACCCCAATTACAACAGATTTAACTCTACCAACAGCTTCTCTGTGACACTTTCCCTTTAGGAAATGAGTCTTTCACTCTCCTGCCCTTTGATGGTTGCCATGGCTACTAGAGATGACAGGAGAACACCATGGTTCTCAAGTGCAATCACAGGAAGCACTGCCACTGACATCCTGCTCCCTTCCCGCTTGGGAAGCTTTCAGGATACTTTCCCTATTGAAAATGTCCCAAACCCAAATCCAGCCACTACGCTGTGAGAAGCTCAGGCCACAGGCAGAGGTCACTATGCAAAATGAGTCACTCGGCCTTTCAGCCTCATTGATGATGCAGATTTCACACAAACAGTAAAAATACACCAAAAAGAAAGCCAAATTTGATTCCTCCAAAACCATGAAATAAACAATAACTACTAGAATTGTCAATAGGAACAGGAACCAAGAGATTTTAAGACAAAGTATATAAATTTTTGGGGAAAGTAACGTTCTATCATGTATGACCAGAAAAAGAACAGGAGGAAGGGAAGAAAGCTGTAAGGGAGGGTGAGTAAGAACAAAGAATAATGATGTCTGTATAGAAATGCCACCACAAAAACAAGTTTAAAAAAAAAAGGAAAACTTTCTGTAAGGGGCTGGGTAGGTGGCTCAGCGGTTAAGGGCACTTGTTCTTTCAGAGGGCTTGGGTTTGATCTCCAGCACCCACATGGTGCCTCACAACTCTAACTATCATGCCAGGGGATCTTCTAACCTCTGTGGGTACCAGGTCTGCACATGGTACACAGATATATGTGCAGACAAAACAGTCATACACATAAAATAAAAAAATAATCTAAAAAAAAAAAACTTTCTGTATGGATCAAGTTTAAACTGTTAGTCACACACATAAAATAAAAAATAATCTAAAAAAAAACCTTTCTGTATGGATCAAGTTTAAACTGTTAGACAAACTATTATTTGTATTAGTCACTAAAATCAAGACTAGAATACAAAAGAAAGACAGCTCATGTTATTTTTCCTAGAATTAAAGTGCCTTTCTCTCCTATTCTTTACTTACTATGTTTCTGTTCACCTGTAAGCACAGCATGATATCATATTCATTAATCCACCCCTACAACACCCCAGGCAAAGCACAATGTATCTTGGGGTTCCTTCTAAGGCTCTCCTCATGAGTAACATTCTTCTAAAGTAGGGACTTGTCTCCAATATTCCTAACTCCATGAAGATGGCAATCATGCCTCATTATGTTTGTGTCCTTTGTGTTTTGCAAACTTCCCAATGCTAAGTAACCACAATAAGTGTTTTAAAAAAGAAATTTCGAGATAATTAAAATATTTAAGCACTGAGTAATCCTATCAGAGGAATTCTGTCTTAAACACAAAACCCTAAACCCGCTGGAGGGTGGTGGCGTACGCCTTTAATCCCAGCACTCAAGAGGCAGAGGCAGGGGCAGATGGATCTTTGTGAGTTCAAGGCCAGCCTGGTCTAGAGAGCGAGATCCAGGAAAGGCACAAAGCTACACAGAAAAACCCTGTCTCGAAAAACAAAACAAAACAAAAAAACCCTAAATCTAATACAAATGTAGTGAGCTCATATTATAATAGATACAATTTCAAAAGAAAGTACTATGAAAACAAATATTGACCTTTATTTTATCTTTTATGGGATATTCTATTTATGACTATCAATAACACTTTAAAGAGGAAATAGAAGCCAGTGAGATGATCTGAGCTTGGTCACCATGGCCTATATAAAGGTGGCAGAAGAGAATCAACTTCAACAAGTTGTTCTCTGACCTCCACGTGTGCTGTGTGGCAAGCATACTGCCCACCCCAAAACAGACTTTAAGAAACTAAACCAAAATGAATTAAGTAACTAAGATAAATGTAATTTGGGGGTCTAATTTCTCAAGTCTCTAAATTTCCTTCACATATCTGAGTATACATAGCTAATTATGTAGCAAGGCCCTGTAAAACTCGATTACATCACACTTGCAAGTGCTGATGATTAACAGAATGTGAAGAGAGCAGAGGACTAGTTGTATTACTGAATACCAACCTCTGTTGTGTCCCTAGAAATTTCAAAACTTGTTGACTGAGGTTCAGTTTCAACGCCACCAACATCAAGTGAAGTACTATGTTCAGGCTTGAGATTCATGGTTTGGTTTTCCTGAAATAAGAAAATCATTTGTAATCTGAAAATAAACACTTAACATAGAATTTTAAAAATTAAGACTTGCACAGACTAATTATTAGAAATGCAGACTTTAATAAACCACTTTTCACTCCTTCAACATTTTCATCTTTAGACTAGGAAAATGCTGGGCAACTTACCAAATTCTTGTGAATCAGACACAGATGAGATCTGAAAGTCTGAACCCACTTGCCATTTTGTTATAATTGTCTAGCTGAGTGTGAAAGAATCACTTTTAGCTGGGCATAGTGGTGAATGGTTATTATCAGCTTTCAGGAGGCTGGGGCAGGAGGACCACTGGTAGGGTGGTTCAGCAGGTAAAAACTACTGCATCTCAAGTCACACAGCCTGAACTCAATCTTTGGAAGTCACGATGGAAGGAAAGATCTGAGACCCCAAGGATATCTTCTGACCCGTGCAGTGAGTGTGGACATGGCTGCATGTCCTCTATTTTCTAAACAGAGTGACACACACCTAGCTATGTTAAAAGGCAGAGTCAGAGCTTAGCTAAAACTCGAATCTCAATTTTGATAAAATAATTCTTGAAAGACTATAGGTGGGTTAGCAGGATGGCTTAGCTAGTGAAGACTCATGCCACCAAGCCACAGCAGACTGACATTGAGTTGGATCCCATAACCTACATGGTAGAGGGCAAATGACCACCATTCCCTATGGTTAACCTCTGACCTCCACAGTCATGCTGTGGTCTTGTATGTACGTACACACACATACACAATAAATATATGTAAAACAAAAAAAGGAAGAAACCTAGAGGCTGCTCAGTAATGCAAACACGGCCTTAAGAATTGAAAGAGAAAATAGTAACTAAATCATTCTTACAACCTACTCTTCATGCTATTTTCCTTTAAGATAGGACATGTTCCCAAACCTTATTTATGTGACTCAAACATGTTTTAACTTAAATTCCAATGTTTATCTGAGCACAGCCATCACCAAAACGTCACCTCTTTAGCACTGGTAAGTCACAGACTCTACTGCATTCATAATGGGGAAGCAGCTTGCAGCACTGGCTTTCCCTGGGCTAAGAACTGTACTAACTTTATAATGCTAAGAAGACAGTGTTCCCTATTTTATTGATTAGTTCATTTATTTTGAGACAAAGTATCACTATGCAGCCCCACCAGGCCTGGAACTTGCTATGTAGACCAGGCCAGCCTCAAACTCACACAAACCCCCCTCTCCCTATCCCCCAAGCTCCAGGATGAAATACATGTTCACCATACCTGGCATGTTACCTATTTTAGATAGTTTAGAAATGCTCAGTATTTCCCACAAGGATCCTGTAATCATAGTGACAGCAGTCAACACCTAGTTTTTCTAACTTCCTGTTCTTTGTTATTTATACAGCATACAGTATACAGTTTCTATAGGAAGGTGTTCTTACCTAAGAGCAGTAAGTGTTCTAATGTGTGACACACATAAACACACACACTGCATGCACAGAATCTGGTTCTATAACCAGGCTGGCCTTGCTCTTACAATCCTTCCACCTCAGTTTCTAAAATGCTCAGGTTCTAAAATGCTGAGGACTGACTCTAGCTATGCATGTCCATGCCTGACTAGAGCAGCACATTTGTATGGTTTGTGCTACTACGGACTGAATCTAGAATTTTGCACATACCAGTCAAGCCTTCCACCACTGAGTTACACATCCCCCAGCCTTAGAGCAGTCAACTTTTAAGGACAAACTGATTATTCATTCCAGAAAGTCTAGCTTCAAATATGCCCTGACTCTGTTTATCAGGATGTCGCTATCCACAAAAAATAAGCTCCCCATTTAGGATTTTCAATCCAACTCATGATGCCTCTCCATCACTATACTTACTTTAAAAATATTTTGTATCTTCACATACTAAAATTAAAGGTAGGCTACAATGGGTGCATTGGTGGTGCATGCCTTTAATCCCAGCAGGGACAGGTATATCTCTATGAGTTCCAGGACAAATAGAGCTAAAATGAGACCACCTCAATTTTTTTAATCAATTAATTAAATTTAATAAAGGGTGGATTCAATTATTCAAGTGCCACCAAAACCTCAAACTAAAACACATTTTTACAATTCCAAGTAGATTAAGATTATCCTAAATTGTAGACTTTCTAATTACTTTAATCTGGGAAGTATGAACAAACTACTAAGAGGAAGTGTTATGTTTTGGCCATTGACAAATCGACTATAATAATAAACTATGAAAATTCAAAAACCATGAAAATTATCCAAAATGTTCAAGCTTTTGCTTCTTTTCTGATGTCCTGAGTAACTGCAGTTGGGAAGTAATTTGGAAGCAGTCTGTGCTCAACAGGAAGGTACAGGAAGTGGGGTGCACTGACCGGCCCCGCACTTTCTGCTGCAGCCCTTTTCAGTTGCTGGACTTCCTCCTCCTTGTGCTCGATGCTGGAGAGCAGCGCCTTCATCTGCACCTCTAAAGCTGTGACCAGCTGGTCCCGCTCCTCTCTCCACTTCTGAAGGTCAGCAGTTTTCTCTGCCAGCTGTGCTGTTAGTGTTTCCTAGTCAACAAGCGCCAAAGTCACCGAAGCATAATGACACAGGTATAAATATGCCAAAACGGAACCCATCACCTTGTTTCCTAACTTAAAAAATTAATTTAAAAATTTAACATAAATCATTATAATGAATCTAAGAATGTTTTTACATTTTTATTAAATATAACATGATGAATATAATACAGAACATACTATTCATTCATGTGTGGATGAAATGCTTATAAAATACAAAAAACCCACTTATTATATATTAAATACTCATGCCAGGAGTGGTGGCCCACACCTTTAATCCTAACACTCAGGAGGCATAAGCAGGTGGATCTCTGTGAATCCCTGGCCAGCCTGGTCTATACAGTGAGTTCTAGGCTAGCCAAGGCTACATGAGACCCTGACTCAAAATAAATGAATATCCACATGTCTTATTTGTCCTTAGTCCACTTTCAAAAGAACCAGATTACTGGTAATTTCTTTCAATAAATAATTATAGCTATAGCATTTTATATAACATTATTTCCAACAATATTCAAATAATAAAAGAATAAAATTACAGTACAACAAATGACACACCTCATAGTTACTAAACATAGAAAAATGATATAAGGGAGCTGACAGCTCAGCAGTTAAGAGCACTGGGTGCTCTTCTAGAGGACATGGGTTCAATTTCCAGTACTCACAGGGTTAACTCTAGTTCCAGGGTATCCAACATATTCTCTGGCCGCTGCAGGTACCAGATACACACACACACACACACACACACACACACACACACACACAGAGTACACAGACATACAAGAAGAACACCCATACTCATAAAATGAAAATAACAAAAAAACATTTAATTATAAGAAAAATGAATATTTAACAGTCATTTGTAGTGGGTTCAAACAAGTGTGAAATATTGTGTCAAATTAAAGAAAACATAGAAAATTTAAACATGGAAACTGCTAGCACCTCCAAGGACTAACCTGAAAACAGATGGAAGCAGCTACCATTAGAAGGTGAGTTAACACTGAATGTTTCTAGTTTCAATTGTAAAGGAAGTAGAAATCTTTGCAGAACAGAACAAGGTCCAGAGCCCATTACAAGGTCTTTCCTTCCAATGAGAGGGAATGCAGGCAGAGGGCCAGAGTCCCAGCTTAAAACAGCCTCAAAAACTTTGCACTGTCCTTTCTGTGACAAGCACTTCACAGAAGAGAAAAAGGAGTCAAAGTCTTATGAAGTACATCAGTGAAATTGGCAAAGGAAAGGAAGCAGTGGTGAACTTTTTCCTCTTGGCACACCACGAGAGCAGTAACAAAAAAACAGTTTTAAAAGCCCTGTGAAGTGCACAGCTTGGCCACTCTAGGCCCTCTTGAAACTACTCTGGGAACCCAGAGCAAGTGTCAAAAGCTACACACTGAACATGGCTTACAAGTATACCGTGAGCCAGAAGAAAAGAAACTTTAAATCAAACATAAATAAATAAATAAATAAATAAATAAATAAATAAATAAATAAATAAATAAATAATTTAAAGGAAAAAAAAGAAACTTCAAATTAGAAAAACACAATATTCGGCAAGATAGAAACGCCATCTGAACCATCATCTGCCCTTGAATACCTCAACATAACAAGTCACATGATTAACCTATAGCCAACACTATACTAAATGGAGGAAAGGCAAAACATTTCTGATACAACAAAGAAAGAGACAATGGTATCCACTTTTCCACTCTTATTCAATGTAAGACTAGACATTGTAGTGCAATAAGCCAAGATAAAGATAAAAATAGGAAAGGAAAACGTCAAACTATTCCTATTAACAAACAACATAATTCTGTATATAGAAACTATACAGAAAAATCTTAGGACTGATCAACATCTTAAGCAAAGTAGCAGCATACAAAAATGAACAGAATTCAGTAGATTCTGCATACACCAATGATAAACATACCAAAAAGAGAAACCAGAAAAACAATTCCATTCCCAATGGCTTTAATGAAAAACAAAATACCTAAAAATAAACCAAAGCAAGAAGTGAGAGCCCTCTGCAGTGAAAATTTTAAAACACCAAAGAAACTGAAGAAGACACTAGAACACAAAAACTTCTGTGTTCAAGTATTGGCAGGATTAATATAGTAAAATGCCCACATCACCAAAAATAATCTACAGTTTCAAATTCTAATGACAATCTTCACCAACAGGGGGAAAAAAATCAATCCAAAAATTCACTTTGAACTACAAAAGATTCCAGATAACCAAAGCAATCCTAAGCAAAAAGAACAATACTGGAATACTGGAGACATCACAATCTCAGGTCATACTTCAAAGCCACCATAACAAACCAGCATGACACTAGCATAGCAACAGATGTGTTTCCACGGGGAACAGAAAAGAAGACACGGGCTGAAACTCACACAGCTACAAACACCTTAATTTTTGGCAAAGATACCAAAACACAATGGACAAAGCCCCTTTAGAACGTGGTACTGGCAAATCTGGACAGCAAAATGCAGAATAAAAATACTAAGATCCTATCTCTCTCACCCTGCACAAAAATAAATTCAAAGTGGGCCAAAAGGCTAGAAGCTCTGAAACTGTTGGAGGAACACTCTGAGACACAAGCATTGGCAAAGTATTTCTCTATTAGCTCAGAAAATAATCTCTAGAACTGACAAAAGGGATTACAAAAAAGTCAAAAGCTTCTACGCGGTAAAGGAAATAATGAAGTGGAGAGAACCTATAGAATCTTTGCTAGCTATACATGCTCCTGACAAGAGGATTACTATCTAGATATTTAAAAAAAAACAAAAAACTCAAAATATTAAACACCAAAAACATTAAACAAACCCCATTTGGGCTCATGAGAACGCACAGTTCACTAAAGATGAAATACAGATGGGCAGTAAACATGACAATTGTTAAATATCCTTAACAATCATGGAAATACAATCAGGCATTTTCCAAGTGTCTAAATGAAGTGAGAAAAGCTATGAAAACACAAGACTGAATGTCATGGTCAAATGGGAGGTTATCTTACAAAAAGACAACCTGCTCACAACAAGAACTGGAATAACTTTAACAAAGCAAGGGGAAAGGTGAAATATATTGAAGAACCACTGCTACCAACCACTTTGTTCTGTAGCTTTAAACAGCGCTCCCTGTCTTCAGCATATTTTTTCATCTCTTTGTTCCGTAGATTCTCAGCTTCTTTTGCTTGAGTGGTAAGGGCTGCTTTTTCCTCTAACCATCTTTTTCTATCAGCTTTATATTTCTCTTCAGATTCCTGAGCAGATGATAAAAGTTATTTTCACATGACTAAGTAGTAAGTCTCAATAATATTTTCATGCAATCCAACCATTTTTACCTTTTCAAAAAAATCAAACAAATGTTTTTTGTTAAATAATGACAATCTCAATTTATTTCAGATTTTAAACAAGAACATTAACTGGCTTGCATTGCTTATAAACAATATTTTCCTATGAAGTTCCTTCATCAATGAGCTTAAGATAAACTAAACAATTGACATTTCTGCAAGTGTTACAGTGACTCCAATAACTATAACTAAAAGGGGGGGGGGAGGTTGCTGACACCTGGTCTGTAACAGTCACTTGAAATTGTATAGCTCCAAAAATAAAAAAACAAAACACAGAATGTCAAAAAAAAAAAAAAAACCCTGTATAATTTATTAAAGAATCATTCAGGAGAAATGGTCAGAGAATAGAGATAAGTGATTTTCAAACTGAATTCCAGAGATATTTGTACTCATAGCCATCTAATTTCAGACATTGAAAATCCAAAGAAAACTCTAAAACCAAAACAGCAGCACTCCATATCAGAAATAAAGTTTGCAAGACAGGAGATTATAATATCTTGGAGAAATGCAAATACAACAACAATCTTAATATGGCAGATGTATTACTGTTTGTCACAACAAATGGATCATTTGTTCTGGCTGCTTGTGCATTTTTTAAATGGAAAGGACACACTCTAAAATCTATAATTAGTCATTACAAAGAAAAAGTAATTTTTCCTGTTATTTTCAGTAAATAACTCAGGACACATGCCTTTAATCCCAGCACTTAGAAGGCAGAGGCAGGTATGATCTCTACGAGTTCAAGGCCAGCCTGGTCTATATAGTTAGTTCCAGGACAGCCAGGGCTACATAGTGAGAACGTTTCAAAGACAAAAAATAAAATACAAAACAGAGCAAAAAAATAAAAATAAAAATAAAAATAAAAATCAGATGAAGAACTAGGCATGGGGTACATACACTTCCATAATTTCATCATCTTGGGGGGAGAGGCAGGAGGATCAAAGTTCAAGCTCACCCTCAAATATATAGAGTTTCATGCTAGTCTCTAGTAGGTGCTAAATCCAATGAAAAAAGTATTTATTCCCCCCAATACTGTGTTCTATATACCCTACATATAGTACATTAAACCTGAACAAGAATGTATATAAATATAAAATAAGATTTCCTTTATGCAGTATATGTTCATGTTTCAATGTTCAGATATACAACTCTATTCCAAATGATAATCAAACATGGAAAAAGTTACCAATAATCAAAATAAGTCTCCCAATGACTGTCTTCTCCAGAGCAATATTTGCTAGGTAAAAAATGGAGTAGAAAAATAGATACAAAGACAACAAAAGCAGTAATTTAAATATTACATATACATGGGTCAGGTGGGCTTAGCAGGTAAACGTACTGGCTGCAAAAGCCTGTCCCTCAAAGCTAGACCTAGAACCCATGCTTTAAAATATACATGGTGGTGTCCATCTGCAACACCAGCACTCCTACAGCAAAATGGGAGGCAGAGATGGAAGAATTACCAGAAGTGAATGAACCAGCTAGCCTGAAGATGCTGCTTAGCAACAGAAAAAAGAAATTCTGCCTCAACAACTAAAAGTTGTCCACTGACTTCCACGTATGCTGTGGTGCACACACACACACACACACACACACACACACACACACACACACACACACCAAAAAAAAGTTAATTACACATATAAAACATAAAGTTGAGGACACAATCACTGTGATTTCATTGGCTCATAATAAATTATGTCTTGGGAATTTTCCCCAGGATATTTTCAAAATGTGTTGAAAGTTTCTTCTCTATATTAATCACTATGCATTATTTCACCCACAAAACTAGCTATAAAATACAAAATGCTGAGTTCTACTCTCAGAAACCCAATGGACAGAAAGGAGGGAGAGAGAGAAATGATACCTGCAGCTCGTCCTGAAGATTACTGAGCTTCTTTCTTAGTACGTCTGTGTCATCCATGGGTTCTTTATTTGACTGTTGATTACTTCTAGCTTCCAGATCTTTGAACTTTTCTTTCCATTTATCCAATTCTAATTTAAAGTACAAATAATGTTATGACATGCAGCAATATGTTTGGCTGGCCATAAATAAATAAAGGAAACAAGGAAGGAAGGAAGGAAGGAAGGAAGGAAGGAAGGAAGGAAGGAAGGAAGGAAGGAAGGAAGAAAGAAAGAAAGAAAGGATTGAGAAGAAAAAAACTAGCAGAGCCCAAAATATACACCAAAATGGGAATAAAATTATCCTAGCAGCTGAACTTCAAGCACTCACCAAATTCTTTCAGATTACCTTATTTGTTTGTTTATACGTATATATGTACAAAGGTTGTGTGTAAATTTTTCTAACAGCTGATCTTTAAGGAGTCTCAACAAATTCTTTCAGATCACCTTATTTGTTTGTTTGTACATATGAATGTACGTATGTGTATCACACATATACACAAGGAAGTCAGAAGAGGGCATCAGATCCCCTGGACCTAGAGTTACTGATGGTTGTAAGCCACCACAGGGGTGTTGCAAACCAAACCCCGGTCCTCTACAAGGTCAAAAACTGCCCTTAATCTCTGAGACATCTCTGCAGCCACCCTCACCAAATCCTAGTGAAGAGGAACTACAGGGACTTCTCATGTGCTCAAAGATAAATGTTCCAAGTACTGAGTAAAAATGTATTTTAATCTGAAATTACACGATACAATTATTGAAGTGCTCAAGAAAGAAAAAAGTCTATGAAAATGGCTATGAAAGTATGAAGAACGTCATCCACCAATATACAGTTCAAGGGTTTACTGAGTACTCTCATATTATCACAACACTAATGTGAGATCACAAATGTGCCACATGCCATAAGTCATCACCAAGCACACTTCACAGATGCAGATAATAGGCTAACACAGCAAATGTACAAAATTACATGTTAAAAAAAGTCATAAAAATAAGTACATACATTTCTTTCCTTTTGTACCAGACTATAATTAGTTTAATGAATAGTAAGTGTTGTAATTTTCTCTACATGCTAGAAAAATGGATGATGCTGACAGCAATGGAATCAGAACTTAGTGAGATGAACAAATTAATGCTAAATGCTTGCAGACACAAATCAATCAAATGGCTTTTTCTTCATAGATTTCTTATTTTATGTGGATGAGTGTTTTGTCTACATGTGTGTATGTGCTCCGTGTACATGCCTGGTATCTGTTGAGATCAAGAGGTACTGGATCTCCTGGACTAGAAGATATAGATGGTTGGTTGTAAGCCACCATGTCAGTGTAGGGAACTAGACCTAGATTCCCTGAAAGAGCTACAAGTGCTCTTAATCTCTCCAGCTCTATCATAGAGCATTCTTGTTTCTTTATGATACACAACTTTACTCAGAAAACAATCATTTTCTTCACAGTGGAAAAGACAAGTGTCAAGGCAGTCAAAAATTATGAATTATTATAAACTCTATACCATTTTGAAAAGGAAAATTAAAGCAAAAAAAGTAAGTTTTGAGATGCAGTTTCACTTTACCTCTGGCTAGCCAATCAGCTTCCTCTAGCTTGGCCTCAAGCACTTGGTCTTGTTCTACCTGAGTTTGTTCTTGCTCTTCTAGTGTCAATCTCATGTCTTCAATCACCTTCTCTTTAACACTTAGATCTAAATGTGTGAGAAAAACTGTTGTTAATAGTTCAATTCAAAATATACAAAGAACTCACATAATTTTAATAATGAAAAAATTCAGAAAATGTATAACTGAAAATACAGAAATAACCACTGAAACTTAAGACCTAAATAAAAACAAAGGTATATCCAGCATTAATGAAAGATTTTGTTGAACAGCAATCTTCCCAATTAGAACAGATTTAATACAATCACTACTACTAGAATTACATATGTCTTTTATGTAGAAGTGAACAGACTAGTCCTAAAATTCACGTGGCAATGCACAGCACCTAAAAGAGGCAAAAAATTTTTACAAATGAAACAAAAATGGGTGTACTCACACTTCCCAATCTTAAAACACATCACAATGTTTCCATAATAGTGACATGCTAGCATGAAGACAAATAGATTAAAAATTAGAAATGAAAGACCAGAAAATAAATTATCACATTTATAGTTAATTTATTTTTCAACAAAGGGACAAAGATAATATAAGGTAAGAACAGGAAGCATACTGAACCTCTCCCAACCCCCGAAAGTTCAGGGATCACTGCAGAAGCGGCAGAGTGACATTATGTAAAAGACCTGTACAAAACCAAGTCAGACCAAATCCCAGCGCAGAGAGGGAAACTGGGCACAGAGTCCCACCCACGGCTGACAAGTTATTGGCAACTGTTAACTGCTGGGAAAGGAAAGGTCAGGACAGCCCCTAGAAAGTGAGTATAGGCCCTGGTAAGTAGGCCCTGCTGCAGTGGAAAGCCACACATCCAAACATAAAATGGTAGCACAAACTGGCCTTGGAGATAGAGACAGAGACAGAGACACACACAAAGTTGGGTGTGGTGATATATAGTGTACCCCAATAAAGCTTGCCTAGGGAACAGAAGACAAAGCTAGCCACTATATAAACATAGAGGTCATGCAGTGGTAGCACACGCCTTTAATCCCAGCACTCAGGAGGCAGAGACAGGCAGATCTCTGAGAGCTCAAGGCCAGCCTGGTCTACAGAGCGAGTTGAGTTCCAGGACAGGCTCCAAAGCTACACAGAGAAACCCTGTCTTGAAAAAAAAAAAAAGAAAGAAAGAAAAAAAAGAGGATATAGATAGGTAGATTATTGAATCTACTCTGAAAAAAAAAAGAGAAATAATGGATAAAGGGTAGATAATAGAATCTAGTTTGAAAAGAAAAAAAGAAGGGATATAGATATAGGATTAAAAAAGTAGATTATTGAATCTACTTTTAAAGGCAACTACTAGTTTTAAATATGTTATACTGGATTTGATTTTTGTATATTATATACAAATTATGTATATTGATACAAAGTTGAGATTGATTTTGTTAGAAAACACTGTACACATATTTCTAATCTTGTTCAAGGTATTGTACCTATACAGTTCATTTAACAATATAATGTAAATTGCTAGTCCTTGAAAGTTATTATTACCAACTAATTAGGATATAAGAAATACAAGTTAATAGTCATTGCAATCAAACTTGTAGTCATACTAGGTATGTTTCTAAGGCTAAACAGAAATATATTTTAGATTGACAGGTCATCTTCAAACACTTCAGAGATCTATAGAAGATGGCACTTACAATGTTTTAATAACACAGATTTTATTTCTTTTTTTTTTTTTTTTAATGACTTATCAGTTATGTCTGCTCCTATCAGCACCAATCTACTTCAGAGAAGATAATGGGCACCGAAGGAACTCCATATGGAGTTTACTTTCTTTGTAGCAAAAGTTAGTCACTGGGCAAGAAAGTGCCCTTGCCTAAACTGCTGACAGTATGCTGTCCAAAATTGACAAGCAGGACACAAAAGAAAGGACTGCTGATCCTTGCCAAGACAAGGTAGGAAGGCTCTTTAAAAAATCCTGCTTCACAGATAAGTCTGTCAGATATGCTAGGCCTGTAGGCCGAAGATGGATGACCCAATGTTGCAGAGGAACCTTGGGTTAGGACTATCCAGGCAGCCAGCTGTTTCTACCAATTCTCACATTTTTTGGAAGTCGCTTGTTTGCATTTCCTCCTTACTCACTTAATATTATTTCCTTCTCAGGTCTCTAAGGGAGTTGAAGATTAGATAGTTATAGTTACAGTTTTCCTTGTTGACAAATTCTGAACAGAAACTCACTCAAGAGGTATACAATGTATATGTTTGAAAGACATCAAAAGATAAGTTTTTGATTGGTAATACAAGTTAAGATAGAAAGTACATTAGATACATTTTGGGCTCACCAAAATAGGATAGATAATGAAGTATTTTCACTGAATTTGTCAAATGCAAATGGACTAGACATTATTGATATATGTATTGCCTGTATATATTGCATAGTTATTGTACTTATTGTATATAGTTTTTCTTATATTAGTTATAACCTTTTATTATTTTAAATAAAAAAAAAAAAAAAGGAAATGTGTTGATATATTGTGTACCCCAGTTAAACATAGAGGTCAGGCAGTGGTAGCACAATCCTTTAATCCCAGCATTCAGGAGGCAGAGATCCATCCATATCTCTGTGAGTTCAAGGCCATACTGGAAACAGAGCCAGGCATGGCACACACCTTTAATCCCAGCACTAGGAAGTAAGTAAGATGGCAGGGCATAGAAAGGTATCTAAGGTGTGAATAAACAGGATCTCTCTCGAGGCTGAAGATTTCACAGAGGTAAGGACGAGGCTGGCTTATTCTCTTTCTCTGATGTTTCAGCTTTTACCCCAATACCTGGTTCCGTGTTTTCTATTAATAAGATCATTTAGTAATTCGTGTTACAGTTGGGAGGAACAGGAAAGGTAGGATGGAGTGGATCTGAGAATTGGGAGAACGGTGAACACGATCAAAACATATGGTATGAAATTCTCAAAGAACCAATAAAAATATTTTTAAAAAGGACTGGCCATAACCAAGAAATCAGTGTTGCACTGAATAAATATTACCTATTGCTTTTCTAATAATCAATTTTAAGTTTAAAAGTTATTTAGCAGAATTAATGCCTTTTATTTTTGATAACGTATCTTTGGCCACCATCATTTCTACATTTTTAAAGAAAAAATGTTAACTGTTATTGTAACTATTTACCAGTCAATTTTATTCTAGAAAGAGGAACTTGGTTCTGACCTTTGCATACTCTCTCATACTGTTGTACAGCTTCTTCCATTTTGTGATTATTTAACTGCTCCTAAAAATTTAAAGAATACAATTAAAAGCACATATAAATCAATACTTAATAGTTAATAGTGGGTGTTGGAACACAGTCCAGAAATGGAGTCCTGTGAGGAGAATGTCAAGTGCTTATGAAAACAGTCCAAGAAAACAAGACAAGAATCTTGAGACCTGTTTCTTCAAAACACAGAATTGTTCTTGGAATGTGTTTTTTTGCACCTTGCAGGTGGGTTTACTTCAGATTACTCATTATTGCCTTCTGTTGTTATTTAATTAAATGTTTAAATTATCCTTTATATATCTCCATGGAAAAAAAACATGGTTTTGCCAAATGTGGCTTGTCCTTGTGATTATATACAGCTTGAACTCATGAGAATTTTCTCATGTGACCTTTCTTAACCCTCAGAGTATAAACTGTCTGAGGCTCTGAATAAAGTTCACTAATGCATGAGACTTTGGTCCACCTCATTCATTGGCTCCATTCTTCCAGGAACCATAGCTTATAGAGCAGTGAACAAGTAGGTATTAATAAGACCTAGGTGTGGTGGGACATGTATTTAATCTCTGTGAGTTCAAGGCCAGCCAGCCAAGGCCATATAGTGAGACATAGTGAGGCCCTGTCTGAGAAAAATAACTAAATAAATAAATAAACAAAACTAGTAAGATGGGTCAGTGAGTAGGGTGCTTGCCAAGCCCAGGGAGCCTGAGTTCTAGCCCTAGCACCCACAGAATGAAAGAAAAGTCTCACAAGCTGTCCTCTGACCTCCACATATGCAGTGGGGTATACAAGTGCCATGGCACATGTGCAACCATACATTTATTTAGTCATATAAACACGTGCACACACACATAAATAAACAAGTGTAAATTGTTTTGATTAAAAATATAGACAATAATCTTATACTTTTAGTATCAGTTATGATTGTTATAACTTTTAATATGTTATACCTACTGAGTATTTTACAGAAACGTGTTCTCACATATCATAAGATGCAAAAAACAAGGGACAATTAAAGTATAATGTATACTAATTACAGGAAAAAAAATGTTAAGGTTCCCCATTATGAAACACAAAATGTAGAAAATATAAAAGTCCTCTATCTAAAAAGCAGTTGTAAGGTCTGAGAACTATCAGGAGACTTAAGGGGAAAAGCTCAATTACAATTCTAACTTTAACCTGTCAGGTCACCAAGACTACACTCTTCAATCTCCCATCAGCTCATCACAGTCTCTACAATCTATTTTAGGATGGATCATTACAGATCAGTCTAGACTGTCTGAATCTAAACAAAACAAACAATCATATGGTAGTAGGGTCTGGTGGCTTGTGCCTACAATCCTGACACTTGAGAAGTGATGATGGAATAACTTGTGATGAGTCATGGTCTATCTAGGTACAAAGTGACACCCTATCTCAAAGCAACAAAAAAAGACAAAATGTTGGTACCGTAAAAAATAAATAAAGACACACATTTTATCAGGCAATAAAATGTACCAGCAGAATGGACTTCAAGCACCATTAACAACATAAATACTACCTTGAGCTGCTGGATGGTCCGCTGTTTCATCTCTATTTCCTGAGAATACTGGTTTTTCTTTTTCTCCAGCTCATTAATTTTAATCCTCAATAATTTCTCTTCATCACGCATTACAGATACCTACAAAGCAAAATTTATGAAGCAAATTGAACATTTTTAAACTTTTTGTTGTTGTTTAAAATTTATGGCCATATCTTCAGGTAACATGCCCTTTAATCACAACAGAAAAGTACAGATACTGCTAAAGGTAAATACATTACTAAGTGGAAAAGTTCAGCACCTTTTTTTTCTATTTCTATTCTAAGCATGCTTTCCCTAACACTTTGCTCTTCCTTACTTACTGTTTCTTTAGAGTCCCTTGTACCCAGCAAGTGGCTTCCTCCTCCTTGCAGGCATAACTCTAGTAGTATTATTTTTTCCCCTCTTCTCTTCTCTAAAGCTAACTGTCAAGATGTGCAGCTTGCCTGCTGAGGAAAGGAGAGGGAAGCAAAAGGGAGGAGAAGGGAGGGGAGGGGAGAAGGTTCTTAAGATGTTTTCAAGTTTCTTTCTCCTTTTTTTTTTTTTTTTCCTTCAAAACAGTGTTCCTCTGTGCTGTCATGGAATTCACTCTGCAGACCAGGCTGGCCTCGAACTCAGAGATCCACCTGCCTCTGTCTCCCAAGTGCTGGGATTAAAGGCATGTACATGTCACCATACCCAGCAAAATATTTTCAATTTCCATAAGAAGATACAGGGGGAAAAATACAGAGCAAAGGAAAATTAGATGGCAAGAAGATAGCTAGATACATGTACTACCTTCAAGGAAAATGGCTAGGAGAAATGGAATGGGTTTCTCCCTCCCTAATTATCTCTTTGTATGTTACACCTTTGAACTGGGTAACTAAATTCCCTATTTTGAAAATATGTTAGTCTATTACCATAACACATTGAAGGTGCCAAATTCCATTTAAATTAAATTATAGTGAAAATTTGTTATAAGTCACTCTGTATACCCTAAATATTACGTACAAAATTACTTTTTTTTTAGAGAAACATGAATTTTATGCTTTTTAAAGAAATGATTCTATTCTTGTATCTAAAGCATATATATTTTACACACATGCACGCAAACCTTTGAGTGGAGAAAGGTTTATTATCTGCAGCAGGCGAGGATCATGTCCAAAGCCATGATATCCACATATTTTCTTCATTATTAACCTTCGGTTTATTTGTTAGCTGCATTTTCTTTTGTAAATTAATGGTGTTCATCATTTTAAGAAAAATTCAAGTTCACAGATTTCAGTTTAATCCTAAAATCTACATCTAAACTTGAAACCTAAAAGAAAAAAATCTCTACCACATCAAACTGCCCACAGGGCTTCCATATAACCTACCTCCTTCTGTACCTGCTCAATCTGCTTTTTGGCATCAGTGAGTTTCTCTTTCAGCTCAGCATAATCTTCTTCCTTCCTCTGAAGATCTGCTTGGAGCTTCTGAGTAAGAACAGAGTTAGCAGCAAGCTCCTCTTTCAATCTGAAAAGAAAAATGGATCACAAAATATCTGCGTTGTGGCACCACTAGCTGCTTAGGATCACTGTGTGAAATGGTAACAAGTGTTACAGAACTACATCTTTTCACAACATAGAATGTGTAAACTAGCAATGAGTGCTCCAGAGGGCCTCATGGGGGTGGAGGGGCTCTTAGAAGTATCACTTTTTACATACAACTTCTGTTTCTAAAGGTTTATGAAGCTTCACTCATCATATATACTATATTCTACCAAATTAAATAATGTCCAGCTAACTGTTCAAAATTATGTAGAAAAATGAATGCCTGGAACCTGCAAGATGACTTAGTGAATAGAGGCACTTACTGCCAAGCCTCATGACCTCAGTTCAATTTCTGGAGCCCACATGTTACAGGAAGGGACTATCTTCCACAGTTGTTCTTTGACCTCTGCAAACATGTGCACATGCAACAGACACACACAAACACACACACAATGTGAAGTATTTTACATAGTTGAGATAGTTTAAATAAAACTTAGCTCACTTTTCTGTCTCTCGTCTGCTGGCTTCTCTTTCTTCTTCCTTTAGCTGAAGTGACTGTTTCATATTATGCAAGTTATTTGTCAACTGGGAGATTTCTTCTTCCAACTTGGTTTCCTTTTCATTTAAATCTTTGGTGTTTTTGATGTGATCCTGGTGATTTGCTTCAAATTCCTTCAGACTTGCTTCTAGATTTAAGATGGCAGATTCCTTCTCTAAAATGACTTGCTCTAATTCGGCTAAGCGCCTACACTCATCCTTTTTGGTCTCTACCATCATTTCAAGTTCCTTTATTTTTGCCTTATAGCACGCAACATCCTGGGTAAGCTCTGAAAGAGCTTGCTCTCTTTCGGCCACAAGCTGTACTTGAACCCCAAGACTAACACTCTTTTCTTGCAGTTCTTCTCTGAGTTGCTGTATAAGACTTTCTTTTTCTTTCAGTTGGTGATCTTGATGCATACCCTCACTCTCCTTTGCTCGTAGTTCATTGTTCTCATCCCTGTAGCCTTTTACTTCTACCTGTAATTTTTCAATTTGCTCTTCCAGGCCCTGAATCTGATGAGACTTTTCAGAAGAGGTCTTCACAATCTCTTTACATACTCCCCAGATGGTTTCAATAACAGAGTGGAAGGAAATTTCCCTATTGTGCTCTTGAATATGATATTCCTTAACCCATTTGCTTGACATGTCATTATCTGGAAGCTGTAGTGATGTGTTCAGCAAATTATCCCCTTTAGGACCATGTGACAGATCCTGGAGATTAAGTAAATCTATTTTTGAAATATGAGAAGGTGAATCAAGTGACCGCAGTTCATCTATTTTTGTTTGCATTAGTTTTATCTGTGAAACATTGCTTGTGATGCTTCTTGTAGCAGTTTCCAACTCCTGTGACAATTTCAGGATCCTCTCCTCCTGCTCTTGGTTCACAGCTTTCTGCATATGTAACTCAGCAACTGCACTGTCATAACTGGCCTGGATTTGTTCCACCTTTGTCCTCAGAGTCAAGTTCTTTTCTTCAGCGACACAAAGCTGCTGCTGCAAACTCACAAGCTGTTCATTTAATTCTGCTTTTTCCACCTTTTCACTTTTGAGTTCATTCTCGCCAATAATTAAAAGCCTTTTTAGTTCTTCGTTCTTTTCTTGTAAAACTCTAATGCCTTCCCCACCTTCTGAAACAGATTGCTGCATTTCTTCACCTTTCTCTTGTTCTTCAGTGATGGGTGGACTGGCAAGCATAAGTCCTTTAAGAGAACATTGGTACTACTTTTAATGCAAAACATAACAAAGCAACAGTTACATACAAACCAGCATTTGCAACACTAGAAACATCAAACTTCTAAAGAAAAACTGAAAAGAACTTTTAAAAGAAAATATGCAGAACTTAATCTGAGTTGACAAGAGGTCTAACAAAATAATGGTTGTTACTTCTGAGTAATTACTTTATCACTTCTAGTATTTATTACTTAACTTTATTCCACAGACCTTTATCTAACATTATGAGACAGGACAGAGGAGAGGGAATTAGTGACATTCTAGCAACCAACTATATCCTAAAAGGCAGTTTCAATTTATCTATTAATATCAACAGAACAGCATACAATTTTGATTTTTGAACCGGATTATAAGGCTTTGAACCATTTTACTTAAATGTTTTGATTTTTAACCTGTTTTTGTTGTTGTTGTTGCTGTTGTTTGTATTTGTATAAAATGCATGAGTTCTAGATATGGGTGTTCTTTGTACAATGTGATGCAAAATCTAATCAGTTTTCTTTATAAGTTTAATTTTATCACTTTTGGGTAAATCTTTTTTTTGTTGTTGTTAATCTTTCCCAAAAAATTATTGTAAGCTCTTTATCAAGGTTTACTTTTTGTCCATAATTTGTCAATGTCCTCCTTAGATAAAGGCATGACAATTTTTGTTGGGTCAATTTTTGTCAATTGACGAAGTTTGAATTTTTTTTTAAAATCAAGTTAGATCTTTTTTACGTAAGTTTTTAACTTTTTAATCTGTTTATTTGGTAAAAAAGATTTTAATATATCTTTTTTTTGTATTAAAATTTTTGTAGAAAAATGTCTAGAGGATAAGATAACCAAAGTGTAATCAAGCTTTGGATTTACATGATCTACATGTCTTTTTTGTACTTTTTTTTTTTTT